GGCCACGCACAGATGTATTTACAGCGCTGCGCGGCATTAGGGCAAAGCGACTCTCCTCTGGGGGGTGAAACACGACCGCGGCAATGAGTCACCCCGAGACGGGCCGTCCTGGAAAGAGAAACACTAACCAAGGACAGCCTGCGGCTCGCATGCCCCTCCCCAGGTGGCCCGACCAGCCTCCCCCAAATTACACATATTAATCCTGGTGGCCGACACCCACGGATCGGCGACGTGAACCCTAGCTTTGGTGGGCCTCCTGTGGGCAGACGTGGCAGATGGCACCCACTCCGGATTCCGGACCCCCAAACGTGGGGTTCGGCAAGACGTGGGGCAAGCGGGGTCAGACGGGAAAGGTGCGCGTGGGAAAAAACGGCGACGACGGCAGCCTTCGTCGGCATGGACGCGGTGTCCTCCCCCCCCCCGTGTAACCGGCTTCCTCCGACGCGGTCGATGTAGCCTCCTTCCTGGTCCTTCACAGCAAAGAAAACCGCATGTTCTATTGGAGGCTGCGGGAAACCAGCCGACCGCAAACGATGTCCGAGGAAACCGGAGCCGCCCTACTCGGTGTCCCCTTTCAGGGCTGCGGCCGGGGCCTGTCAGGGGCCTGCAGGAGCCGTCCAGCCGGACCACTGCGGGATTATGTGCCATAGTAACGCCCGGCTCCCAGCCAGCACCCATGTTTATCATTGTAAATTTCCTCTCTGCCGCCTCACCGCCATGGCAACACACACCGTTCCGGAGTGAGTCCACTTCCTCCTATAATCGGCTAAGCGAAATAAGGCTGATTAGCAGACAATACGGATTTATTCCAGTTTAATTTATGCAAAAGTTTATTGTGGAGAATAGCGTCCGACGTCAGTCGCCTGAGATCAGAGGCTACCTTCATTTAGGACTTTCCGCCTTGTAATGTTGGCCACTATGAATATTCATGATCATTCACGGCTGGCAGCGGGTCACGCTGAGGCGAGTGACGGGCCACTTGTGGAGGAAAAGCCCTGATTCTTGGTCACTGTTTGATGGGCTTTAGACAAAGAGCTTGCCTGCTCCTTTTGTGTCCCCCTTGCTGTACAGGCCCACTGAGGCCCTGCCAAAGAATGGCGTCTTGTTTAGAAGCCATTGCGGGTGTTGGGTGTTTGTGTTGGCTGGGGGGGAGGGCGGCACTTAGCTAAATAGGCTCACACACGACCGGGGGCCGGATAGTTCAGGGGCTCCACCCCCAGGTCATTTACCCCCAGCATCGTGTGACCTTTGACCCCGTGCTCGTGGCCCGCAGTGGCACTTTCTAGGGCTGATGGCTCGCTTTTGGGGCCAAGGTTGTGATTTGGAAGGGGGACGATGGGGAGGGTGGTGGGACAAGGCGTGACGTCCCTTGATCTCAAACACCGGCGAGATTCGGTCAGAGGAGCCCAAAATCTGAGCCGATTAGGGCCCGTGTGGCGCTCAGTGCTGGGTCTTGGCAGCGGTTCAGCTCCTGTGAATGGGGGTGCAGACTCCTGGCCCCTTGCACAGGGGAAATAGAGCCCTTCACTCTCACATCTGCAGCTATTTTACTGCTCATGAGACATTAACTTAATTACAAGCAGGATGAGGCGTCACGGCAGCGGCTCAGGGGACCGCTCTACTCCATGTCCCAGCCGGGGGGGGGGGGGGGGGGCACAGCGGGGTCCTAAACGTGACATTAATATCACATTTTAAATCTTTGTTTTTATTTCGACTCCCAGGTTTCCAAGACAGGCCCAAGTCATTGATGGTGTTTGTGAATCCCACCAGCCATCGAAAAGAGGCCTACCAGACCTACCGAGACGAGGTGGCCCCCCTGTTCAAGCTAGCAGACATCAAGGCTGATGTCACAGGTACGTGGTGTGGGGTGTATTTTCCAGTGTTGGGCATTTTAGGTCCAGAAACTACAAATCCAGACCAAGATTTTGTTTCTACCAACCAATAAAGTATCACAGTCACAGAGTACTCAACTGGTTGATAGGAATGAAATCTTGGTTTGGATTTGCAGCTTCTGGACCTGAAATGCCCAGCAGTGGTATTTTCTGATCTATATGGTACCTTGTCCACCTCACTCCTTTTTCAACTGGTGCGTCACCAACGGTAACCCAGCACCAAGGAGCCCGGCCTTCCGGCAGTTCGGCCTGATGAAAATCTGCCTCGGGTCCCTACGGCTGACCACAGATAATGCATGCAATGATTTGCGGAAGCCTTGGTTTGGGGAGAAGGCAACCTGTGAAAGCCGGGAAGATTGAAATGCCCCCCCCCCCCCAAAGGACGATATTATGGGTAGGAGGGTGTTGGGACGGAGCAGCAGGGGTGGTTCTTTTAGAGTTCTCCTCGCTGTGAAACCCAACCTGCGGGGAGGGGCAACACCCATCTGTCCCAACAGGGTGTGGAACCGCGCCCCCCCTCCCCAGCAGACAGACCCTAAGTCTGGGAAGGAGATCCCACAATCTGGGCGCTAATGAACTCCGCTACCTGATTCCAGAAGGCATCTGAACAGTAATCGAATCTGCCTTCTGATGATGTGCTCCAGGCCCCGCCGGATAAGTGGCTGAGGTGGATCCATTAAGAGGCACTTCGCCTAATAGAAATTAAAGATCTCATTTGGAGACCTGGCTTCAGCAAATGGCATTAGGACCACTGAGATGTTTTCCATTTGTTCTTCATTTAGCTCCTTTGAACTATGGGCTGATAGCAGCATAACATCACTGGATTATTATAACTAATCAATCACCTGAGATATAATTATAGCTCACAACAATTAACTACTTTAATTCATGGCTATTTGGCTGTTTCGGAAATTTTCCGCGGAGGAATTATGAGGATAATTTGGGCAAAATAAGCAGGTAAAGGTGCAGGTGCTTGTTATGCTAAGATTTTACTGCTGGTTGAGAATACAATTCCATAGGATATTGATGATCAGACACACTTTTATCAGTGCTATTAATAATGGGCTGAAGTCACCATCCCAAAACCTTAACTGAAAAATAATCACAGTCAACAGTACGAACATTATTTACAGTATCTTAACTGTTTCCACACCTGAAGCAACCACTTCAAAAGTGAAGTTAGTGTTTGGATTGTTATTTCAGGTACCTTTCTGGTCATTGTGAAGGTCATTATCTACTAAACACTCCCCCTCCTGGTCGCTGTATTGTAGTGCATGCCATGAGGTCATCGGTTGTCGTCATTAACTTCCTGGTTTAGGTTTGGCGGTGGATGCGGTGGCTTGGTCATCTGCTGCTGTGTTTCTGTTGAGTGTTTGTAGAGTCTCTCCCCTGTGTTTCTGTGGAGTGTTTGTAGAGTCTCTCCCCTGTGTTTCTGTAGAGTGTTTGTAGAGTCTCTCCCCTGTGTTTCTGTGGCTTTCCTCTGGCTTCCCCGCTTTCTCCTCACAGCCCAAAGCCATGCTCCTGAGGTGACTCTGAAATACTCCTGGCCTGTTAGTTGCACCCTGCCCTGCAACCTTTGCTTGCAGTGATGGGCTTTGCAATATCGCATCCATAGCTGCATGCATGATTATTGAAAATAGATGTGTTTTGATTAAATGTATGCTCATAGTGTGTAGAATACTGAACAGGCATGATAACAGGAGTAAAGAGACCTGTTCCAGGAAGGAAAGGAGAAATTAAGGAGAACGCCAATAAACTTTTAATTAATAGATGAAGCTGCCTTTATTAACAAGATAAATTATAGGAAAAATAAACAAGATTAGAGCACCTTGGTGCAACCCTATTGGCTGAAAAACGAATGTGCAATAAGGCAATTCAGTTAGATATGAAACCATTTAAAAACCAGCTGATCATTCGTTTGTTTTGCTATATATGACAGATTAACCCTAAGAATTCAAATAATTGAGAGAAAAGCATGAAGAAATTATTATTTCAGACTTAAAGCGCCGTGTCATAATTGGATTTTTTGGTGCAGTTCCTCTCAAAGTTTCAGCAATGCATCATCGCCATCGGCGATGGCTGTTAGAATGAATGATGCGGGGAATGGGAACGACAGACAGGCAGGCGCATAAAATCCTGCGGGCCACAGGAAATGATGCACATACTTCCACCGCAGACGTCAGTCATGGCGAATCTTTGATGGGCGTAGACAGCTGAAAGCGCCCCCCAAACCCCCGCTCCGGCAGAGGTGCCTGAAAAAAATATGTGCCACAGTGTGCCCTGCCATCTGCGGTGTGCCAGCCCCCCCATCCCATGCCCCTCTCCTACCCCCACGCCCACTCTCCCCCATCCGTCCTCACTGGCATTTCCTCCACCACGAAAGGCTGCCGTCATGGAGATGCAGAGTGACAGATCCCAGGCCTCTGGAGGCTCTCCTGCTCCCCTTTTGCACACCTCCCTCCACGTACTACCCTTCCCCCCCTTCTTCCTCCACCTCCCTTCCTTCAGTCACGTTGGGTCCCTTGTCTCAATGCGAGACCTTGTTGACATTGTTTTGCATAAGTAGAGTCCAGCTTGAGGCCCAGGCTGTGAGTCTCCCCCCCCCCCCCATCCCCACTTAAAAATGCGAGCCACACATGGGAGCGTGAGCCCAGCATTATGGCTATGCGCGCCGGTGGGGCCATATGCCGTTATAGCTATTTGCTAAGCGCTAGTTAAAGGCGCTAAAGGCTCTTATTTCCAGCCTTTGCCTTATTGTGCTTTGACAGGCTTCTTTTTTCGCTTTCTCCCCGCCCCCCCAGTCACCAAGAGGAGAGGCCACGCCCTCGCCATTCTGCGGGAAGGCCAGCTGGATGCCTACGACGGGTACGTCCCTGGCGCGGCACGTGCGGGTACCGCCATGTCTCAGCATCAGGTCACTGCGTTGCCGGGCTTCCCTCTTTGCCCTTCGTTGACCAGAGGGGTAGCACTCTGCTTCTGGGGAGGAGGCGGGCCACGGCAATCCTGCCCCAGCACGGCCGCCTTCTCGTCCTAAGGTGGCATTTAGCGGTAATAAATAAAGCAGCGGCGTAGATTTGAGAGTGAGCGATAATGCTTTGATTAGGATACGGTGCCCCGTGGCCCCGCCCGGCCCCCGCTGACGGGTGCCTAGCCGGCGTGCTCGCGGCAGGTGGTCCTTTAATTACCTATTTTGGAAGCGGTGATGAAGTGCCTGCATGCGGCAGGCTGCTGGCACGGGGCCGTCACGCCACCCTGCCGCATTAAAGTCACAGTCAGCTGCCCTTAAATATTTCCGGGCCCCGCATAGTGCCACGTCGTGCCGCGATGCAAAGACCGCGTCTAACTGCGAGCCCAACCCCCTCTGCCCCCCGGACACACACACCTACTGAAGGAGGGGTCGGGGTGTCAGTCCAGGGCCAGGGAACGCTGCTGTGGTCTTTGATTAAAAAGGTGGAGTGGCAGATTCTGGACAGGGCCGCATGAAGGGCACCGAGGCAGCCGGGGTGAACACGTGGGGATGGGTGCTGTGGGGGAGCCATTCAGGAAAAAATGTTCCGGAACTCAAATGGCAAGACGAGTGGGGCCGTGCCGCTGGACGTACTCCAGCACTCGGATTGGCGGTGACATCATTCACCGGGTCACATGGTTCATGTTGACCATACCAGCCACGTTGGGGCGCTCAGGTAGCCGTCGCCTGACGCCTTCCACATCCACATCACAGTCAGCATGAGCTCAAACACAATCACCTGCTATGAGTGGAAAGTGGAATTTTCACATAAAAAGTGTCTGTGGGAGAATTCATGGAAAATGACCGGAACCTGAGAAAACACTATTTCCAGTTAAGAATAATCCTTTTTTTTCAAATCTAATAAATGAATAAGTGGCATTTTCCCTAACTTCAGAATAATTAATATTATTAAAAGCCTAAGATGCCAGTATGAAATATTTTAAAATATTTTCTGTAAGACTTTTTCTTATCTTTTATATTATAATTTTATTACAATTTTATGTAAAATCCAAATAATTTTAGAAATATGTGTGAGACATAATACATTATTTAGTGAAATGGAATTACTGTAATTATAGTGTCTAGCTTTTAATATTCTAATTTAAACATTAATGAAATATCTGTAAAATGTCCAATTTGGAAAAAAACATACAAGCCAACCAAATACCTAGATTTGTGTCATGTGATAACTTAAAAGAACAGCATTACGATCAAACCAGTACTAAAAACACAACATTGAAGTTACACCTTATTAGCCTGGCTTTAAGACCAAAGGCTCTGTATTTTGCAAAATTAAACAAGCAGAATTTTGTTTTAAAATTAATCCTCTGGTATCTCTTTTGCGTATTTGATTTTTTTTTTGACATGTTAAAAACGCATATGTGTATGCATATGTGTAAATCCTCTGTTGCCAGACCGCACTGAAACACAGTCCCTGGCAGTCCCTGTCCCAAGCAGAGTGACATGCCACACACACACACACACCCGAAGCCTCTGTAGGCGGTGCTGGTGTTGCGAAGGGCATTAGCCACCCTGCATGAATCCAGGGATCTGTAACATGTTCATTTTACTGTAAAATAAACTCATGGATCTGCTGAGGTCATTTCATTGATTACAAAGCAGCTAAATGCAGAAAATGCAGCAGAGATCGGTAAGTGCTATGCTGGAAAAGGAGAATCGCTGTCACAATGAGAACATCATTATTTTTTATGTAATCTGTTATAATATTACCTTTCAGTGCTCCCCTTAATCTGTCCCATAATTAAACATGCAACCTGTAAGACCAAATAAAAATGATTTTGCACCATATAAGAAAACCACTTAAAGTCCCTTATATACGCAGAGTTTTTCCTTTAAGTTTTCAACTTCACTTTATCAGAGGAGGAGCAGAGTGAGAACATTAGCAGAAATATCAAAGTCTTTTACAGAATCCTGGCTCACAGGTTTAGCCGACACCAACTTTGTGAATTTGAGGCCCAAAGTGCCAATGTCACGTTTTCATTAATAAATCGTAATTCTCAATAATTATCAATTGTCTCCTATAATGTCACTTTTCATGTAGACATCCACTTTCTCAATCGCGGGGTGTTTGACACGGTCCGCCTCGTAAGCAAGGGCCCCGTCGCTATGCTAGCAATTATCCCACTCGCACATTAATGTTAATTATTCGCACCTCGAATTAAGGGCTCTTATTTATTCATGATTTTTACAGCCTTTCCGCTTCCTGGTGATAGATGGGAAGTAGCGGGTGTTTTATGGCGCCAGCTCTGGTTAGTGGGATGTATTGCGTGTGTGTGAGGATGAAGGTTGGGCTCAGGGGGATGAGGGAAGCAGAGGGGGAGGGGTCACCATATCAGCTGATACCGGAACCCGGAGCAGAGCCCACTGCGGTTATGGCCTAATCCCCCTTGCCCACCCCATCCTACACCCATGCCACACTGAGCTGTGATTGGACCCGACCAGCTCGACATGTCGGACGCATGCGGTGAATTCAATCTCCGTCATGTTTAAATTTGCCGCAGGTTTGAAGGCGGAAACCCGACTGCCCCATATCACACCAAACATTACGATAAATGTGTCCATTCAGCTGCTGCTAATGGACCCAAATTACGCCACAATTAATACACGTGCATCTTGTCTATTGATGCCATAGACTAATTGGTCCGAAATATTAATGAAATGTAAGAAGTGGCCTCCGCAGAATTACATTAACTGTCATCTGAAATGCATTAACCACATATTTTCATCTCAACAAATTTCAAAATCCCATAACAAATAGAAGCTGGGGAAGCAAAACTAATCTAATGGTGAAATAGGTTAGTTATTGTTAAACACATTTTTAAAATGGAATAATCAGCTTTTCTGCACAGTGGTAATTTACCCTTAATAAGCTTAAACCAGATTAGTAGCAACCGGTTTTTCTGCAGAGATCTGGCATTATTTTTCCTATTAATGATGTAAGTCTTTTAATGAAACTTTTCACACAATAATTTCTTGTTCATAAATGGTGACTGGGGTTTATTATTTCGGCAAGAATTTTAACAGTTTTCTTTTTTTACTCGAGCGATCCCGGTTACCTGCTCGAAGGTACAACAGACGGGCCCCCGCTGGGATTTGACCTAGCAGACTTTGGGATTGTGAGACTGTGTCCTCAACTGCTGCTAACTCTGCCTTAAATTTTCTTTTCATCGGCATTTTTCTTAAACTGGTGTAAACATGCCACCCGAATGGTTGAAATGTTAATACAGCTTCTGATTATATTTATTTCAGTCTTTGTGTGTTATCCCTATTATCTGTGTGTGACCGGCAGGATTGTGACTGCAAGGTGCATGTGAAGCTGAGCTAACCTGAGTCCTCATGTATGTGGTAGATAGCAACCTCCTGTGTGCCTCAGGGCCCTTTGGCCTGTCCGTGTGCCCGTGTGTGTGAACGTGAGCGTGAACTAGCCACCGGGTGCGTGTGGCATTGCGGGCGAGCTCCCAGCGGCAGCCCTGCCTTACGCGTGCCCCGGCCTTTCCCGCAGCGTGGTGTGTGTCGGGGGGGACGGCTCAGTCGCCGAGGTGGCCCACGCGCTGCTGCTCCGGGCCCAGATGGACGCTGGGAGGGACACAGACTCCATCTTCACGCCTGTCCGAGCAGCACTTCCTCTGGGCGTAATACCAGCAGGTGAGGAGGGATCGCTGCTGACTCACTCGCTCCTCTGCAGCTGTCCCTCAGCCTCCCTCCAGGCCGGCGGGGCACTTTAGGGCCCCTCACCCTGAGCACGAGCACGGCGGCGGGGGCGGCGGGCTCACTCGTCCGGGTGAGAGGGGAAATCGGAGCGTTGGCGCAAAAGATCCCGTATTATCGCGCCGCAGCATTACCAGCAGCCGGATCTCCTATCCGCGCGCGGGATGAGCACAAGCCACATTGCGGCGCATGACTTCATACCTACCGAAAGCGACCACGTGGTTCCCCCACAACACTGATGGAGTGTATTATTATCAAATTCACTTAATTGCAGCCAGGCAGGAGTCAATTGTCAGTTTGTAAAAGGAACTAATTACTGACAAGCCGACCTCAAAGAAAGACCCCATTCTACTTAATCTCTCCCATTCACGCAAATGCGGTTAACGTTACGTTCACGGCGTGAGCCAGGGAAGGCATCTTTGGTGTGGTTACGCGGCTCCACTCGCCAGGGCAGATAGCGGCCAGGCGCCCGTAAGCGCCGTGAGTTACCACCCTGGCGGCGAGCGGCAGAAGCGGGGCAAGGAGAAGGGGGTCAGGACACAGGAGCGACGCTGCTTTTTTGGGCCTCAGGCCTGACCTTCACTTGTCATTCCAGGGAACGAAAAATGGAGTGTGGCTGTTAGGGGCGGTGGACGCCTTCCAACTTCACACTCGCCGCAAATTGGCCGCTCCGAGGTCACCGTTTCTCTTCATTATCATGTGCTCCCCAGGGAGTGTTTGTAAACAGTTTCCTGTCACAAACAGGAAGGATAGGCGTGCACCCCGCCCGCTCCTCTAAGGGATAGATTTGGGATAGTGCGTTTGGGTCAGCCAATAGCTGGGTACACTGCACTGTTCAGGGAATTTTAGAGTTTTTTTTTGGGGGGGGGGGGGGGGGTGGACCATGGTGTTTCCTGCATTTTACCTGCATAGGCTTAAAGATTAAAATTTACACAAAATTCTAATTGGTGTCTGAAAAGCTGGCTATAATATATAGACACAATTAAAAAATTATCTGTTAGATGACATATTTCAAATGCTATGTATAATGTTTTTGTTTTCCTATTTCTTTCATATTTCTTCCATAGCTTGATCACAGATTTGTTATTTTAGTTATTTCTTAAAACAGTTTTTAATGCATACAAAATTAAACCAATTTAGAAATATAAAATTACATAAAAATAAATGTGATGAAAGCCACTTGGGATAAACTCGCCAGATGAATTTGGCAGCCCCGTGGAGGAAATTATAAAGGGCTTTTTCTGGGCGCAAACTGCTGTTAGGTATATAGAGCCACTAAATTCTTAATTAATTTGCCAGGTCTAACGCATTGCACAGGGACTGTTAATTTCTTTGATATTTCAGGCAAAGAACCAAAATGTTGGTGCAGCTTTCACGTAACTCAGATATGCTTGACTACCAAGTCATTGCCTCACATTTATCTGCCTAGATGTGGGAGACATTAACAGCCTCATGCATATTCATGCCGTCTGCTTAATTAAGTTAATTGTTCTGCAGAAGTGCTTGCACTTCCAAGGACGTTTTTTCCCCCCTCTCATTTTCTGTTTTTTTTTTTTTTTTTTTTTTTTTTTTTTTTTTTTAACCCCCCCCCCCCCCCGCCCCCAACACACACACAAACACACACACACACAAATTTCTGTATGTTAGCTAATCGTCATCAGTCATGCTTTACAGGGGCTGGTCCCTGGTTTCGGCACTTCTGGCATGGTCGGGGTGGGGGGGGGGGGATGCCAAACTGGAAGCAATGGCGGCAAACAATGGGTCCACACATCCTCAGACGCAAGCGTGGCGAAACCCTTCCTTAAGGATCTGTTGCATGCTGTAACACACACACACGCCTGTTAACACACACACAAATACACATGCACAAATTCACATGCACAAACATGCAAAAAAAAAAAGACTTTGTTTGATGCCATTCTTCACCCTTACTGGGCTAAAGGTGTAGTTCCATATTTTGGTATTAGGTTTAGGTTTTACCACAATGGTGGCCTTCTAAGTATATGCAATACATTGTGAGAAAACATCATTTAATGATTAATTAAACAAAATCGATAAAAGCCTGCTTATCGTAGTCGTGTTTATGACAACCTGAGTATATACGGGAAAAGGCCGCATTTGTATCCCATCGGGTAGAAAACTGTGCCCTTAAGATGGGTCGCCCGCCTCCCCGCCCCCTAGCACCCGAGCCAACCGCACCCCCTCCCTGGGGCGTCTGCCACTCGCTGACCCCTCGCCTTGGCCCACTGGCCCCCTTTTACTCATTTACAGACATTTACTTTTTTAGACGCTGTTAATCTGAGTAAACAAATGGAGGAGATAGCAGTGGGAGAGGGGAGGTTTCCTCGGCCGGCGTGAGCAGGCCGCTCTCCGCTGTTTGTCTCCATTAGTGCTCAGGACAAACACGCACACCTGTTCCCACCTCGCCCAGCCAGGCTCCTGCAAGCCCCGTAATTGGCGCCAGACGATATTAAGTTAAACGGATGCCTTTTGAAACAAAGCCTACCTCCATCCTGTGTTTACTCTCCCACTCTGCTTATTGCGTTTGCGCGTTTTTGCATTTTTTTGTGCATCTGAAGATTTTGGATTTTCCATGGTTTTCCGGCACGCGACCTGGCGTGAGGAAGCGGTGTTGTAGGCCTCGGACAAATGGAGATGCTGATATTCCGGTGCATTATGAGGGTTCGCGGCACACCCTGCGGGGCTCGCACCGTGTGATCGCTCTGCCGCTGTCTTCCCAGGCTCCACCGACATCGTTGCCTGCTCCGTCCACGGAATAAGCCATCCAGTCACTGCTGCGATGCACATCATCATGGGTAAATCCCCCATCTCTCCTTTGCCGATTCCCAGTATGGCTGACTCTCCCCTACTAGATCACCCACATTACATATAGGAGCCTAAAGGAACTAAATGTTTAATGAAGCAAAAAACACATAAACTGTATTAATATGTAAATTTAGTTCCATTTACATTTGAATCCACTGAGTTCAAGGGCAGTGACTGGCGCCGGTGATTCCCACACTGAGCATTCAGCTTGTGGTAGGTGCGGCCCAGTGCTAATTAGGACCCTGTTTGTATCATTGTAAAGTGCTTAGTGCTTAGGCCGTCTCACAACTGCTGGATGTGGTAACTAGTCCCTAGGAGCCAAAGGCGCTCCCTGGGGAGTATGGTTTAGAGGTCGAGAATGGATTTCATCCCTCATAAAGATATAGGCAGTTTTTGTGGCTTTGCTTGTTTCCTAGTGTATTCCCTTTCTCGAGGGTAGGCTATATTTACAGTGTTGTATTTACAGTGTTACATTTGCAGTGTTATATTTACAGTTTATGCACAGTTATGCATATGGTCTGTGCCCTGGGTTTGGGTGCTCAGATGATGTGAATGGTAGGTGGTGACTGACCTGATTTACACATTGTTTTGACTTTATGGTGTCTCCTGGGTTTAGAGTGACAGACAGGCAAATTTGTCTGGTGCCAGGGGATAAACTGAAGTGATGAGACAGATATTGCTTTAAAACAAGGTGCCAGAATATCACTTGCACCATGCAAGTGTCCAATCGAAGTTTATTTTTTGAACATTCGCTTCTTGTTTTATTTTGGCTTCGCCTTCCTTGACATCACTGGATTCCAGTCATTAGCCTCATATTGACATTCTTGCTCAGGAGAGAGGTGCTCTTTATTAAATACTCTGTCTTAAGATTTTTTGCCATATGGTCTTATAATTTATAGCCTTTAAATAGGAATGAGTTTTATGGCTAGTGTTTGGCTAGACCAATCAACCAGACTAATGACGAGTGGCTATATGGTCTTGCTTTTGGAAATGGCTGTGTAGTTAGGATTGAAATCAGAGATTCTAGACATTATGAGGAGATCTATAGACCATTGGATTATGGGGAGATCTATGGATCGTTCGGCTATGAGAAATTCTGTGAGACCAGTCAGTTATGAGGAGATCTGTGACACCATTTGGTAATGAGATGATCCGTGAGGCTATTTGGTTATGAGGAGATCTGTGAGACCATTCGGCTATGAGGAGATCTGTGAGTCCTTTCCGCTGTGGGGAGATCTGTGAGACCATTTAGCTATGAGGAGATCTGTGAGATCATTCCACTATGAGGTGATCTGTGAGACCATTTAGCTATGAGGAGACCTGTGAGACCATTTTGCTTTGAAGAGATTTGTCAGATATTTCAGCTATGAGGTGATCTGTGAGACCATTCAGTTATGAGGATATCTGAGAGACCATTTGGTAATGAGGATATCTGTGAGTGTTACAGTGGAGCATGGCGCAGGTATAAAACGAGTGATGATCCATAGAGGGGTGTATTAACAAGGGGTGTATTAACAAGAACTGAATACAAAGAGATAACTCACAAAATAAAGGGACCAAAACTAAACGGGAGAAATAAGAACTAAAAAGAAACAAAAGAAACAAAACATACGAGGGAACGGAGCAAAAACTGAGAGCAGGACTAAGGAACAACCAAAGCTACAAACACAAAGTAGCATCAACACAGCACAAACATCTACACATGTCAAAGCACACACATCTAACAACGTGACTAACTGAAGAAAAGGATAAGGGCGGGCACTTAGATACATATAGACAACAAGACTAACAAGGGGCAGGTGTGAACGATAACCAAACCAACCAGTCAAGGCAGGCATGGGACAACACTGAGAGGTAACACTAGGAAAGACTAGGAACATAACTATAAGCAGAACAGAATTAAACCAGGCATGGGCAGGGTTATGCGAAAACAAGGACACAAAGCAAAGACAGACATAAACAATACCAAACACTAAGGATAAAATAAAACCCAATAAATTAAACAAAAGATGCGGCAGGCCTCAAACCCATGACTGGAGGGTGTCAGCTTCTAAGCCACACACTCAACCCATAGAGATATGCACTGGTTCAAGGAGCAGAGAAACACATTAGGGACTTACTGTAGGGCTACAAGACAGAGGAGGGAACAGGATGGCCAGTAATGTCTGGCCAAACGAGGACAAAACAAATGGGACAGGGCCAGCCAGGGACAGACCCTGACAGTGAGACTATTTGGTTTCAGTTATGAGGAGATCTGTGAGACCATTTGGTTATCAGGATATCTGTGAGACCATTCCGCTATGAGGAGGTCGGTGAGACCATTCATCTATGAGATCTGTGAGACTATTTGGCTATGAGGTGATCTGTGAGACCATTCAGTTATGAGGAGATCTGTGAGACCATTTGGTTATCAGGAGATCTGTGAGACAATTCAGTTATCAGGAGATCTGTGAGGCAATTGGGCTATGAAGTGATCTGTGAGACCTTTTGACTGTAAGATCTGTGAGACCATTCGGCTATAAGGAGATCTGTGTGACCAGATGGAAACCTGGCTGTGAGCTCAGTGTGGTGCTCTATAGATTCTTTCTTTCCTCACAAAGGCATGTCCTAGGAACTACAATGAAACTCTTAACATCCATCTAATGTTACAAACTCACTGTGTGTGAAACAGAACAGCCAGTTTTCTTACAGATATGAATAATGTATCCAAAACCAGTGTCCTTTATCTAAACTAGCTCTCACATTCCTCAAAAAAAAACAACACTTGTACACAAATCACCTAACAAAAAAGGGATTGCGCATCAATTCACGAGGGCCAATCTAGGAGTTGTTAATTAGTAATTGGAAAACTTAAGGCATGTGAAAAAGGCCAACTGGCGGGAGATTGAGGCCCCGATGAATAATTCATGAGTTGCAATAACCCAAATATGGGAGAGACAGAAGGAGGTTAGCAGTGCACTGGGATAACAGACCTGTCTCAGCACAATGAGTGCCAATAGTGCCACAATACTGTGTCACTTGCTGTGGACTGCTTCCCCGGTCTATTGAAAATAGTTCAGTAGATGTTTAATTAATGTCCAATAGCCCCAAACGGATCATATGGCGCGGTCCTCCCCTCTTCTTGGCGAGGCAGAGCCTTTGGCAGATCATTACATGCTAAATCAATTGTCTACGTGGTGTTGATTGCGACAGCGTTGTTTTCTGAAGGCCGTGGTCGCTGCCGTTCGCTCCGAGGGCGTACCTCACGTTGATGCTCCACGGCAGGTCATCGGCAAGCCGTGGACGTGAGCAGCTTCAGCTCGCAGGGACGGCTCATCCGCTTCGGCTTCTCCTGCATGTTCGGCTTTGGAGGACGGACGCTGGCCCTGGCCGAGAAGCACCGCTGGATGCCGCCCAGCCAGCGCCTGGAATTTGCTGTAATCAGAACACTGGCCAACCTTAAGTAAGCTTGGATGCATAAAACCCTCATAAGAACAGACAGAACAGCTCTGCTTTGTCTGATACCTCAGGCTTCAGGCCTGTGAAAGCTACTCTCAAGGCTGGGCTGAGTTTCCATTCAGATATCCACAGGGAAAGGCCTCACCTCCATTCGTCCTCTCTGATGTGCCCATCTCCCGTTCCCTCCATCATCTCATGCCTGGACTCCGTTTGCAGGCCCGAGGACTGCGAGTTGTCCTTCCTGTCTGTGAAGCAGGACCAAGAGACCACAAAGGAACCGAAGGGGTAGGTGACAAAGAGACGCCTTCCAGTTGGCACAATTCGGGGACTCGTCTCGGTCCAGGTTCAATGGTGATGGTCTGCACAGAAATACAAACATCTCTGCCTGTTTAATTGGCCATTGGAAAGACACCAAATGGAGTGAAATGAAACGGGTGGCTCAAGGGTGGCTCAATACAACTATACAAATTCAATTTCTTTTATATATTTGCAATATGTTTATATATTTCTTTTAGTGAGGTCTAGCATAAACACAAAAAAAATTCAAATGTCTTTTGTGTGAGACGAATGTAGGAATCCTGGAATGGAGTATGTGCCTCTCACAGAGTTTTGATCGCCATAACAGACAAAAGATTCTTCTTAGCAGACGTGACTCTTCAAGGAACATAGGCGAGCAAGATATTGGTGAGCACAGCCAGCTTTATATAGATACTTATAAAAATACTTGTGGTCTAGTGTTTGCTGCTTGCTGATGGTCCGTGTTACTGAACCCCCCACCGGTCCTTGCCACAGAGGACGATGAACCATGGGTGACCATACAGGGCCTCTTACTCAACATCAGCATCATGGCCATTCCTTGTTTGTGCTCCATGGCCCCCCGAGGGCTGGCCCCCAACACCAGGTCAGTGGATTCTTAAACAGGAAGGCAGGATGTGGAGTCCAAAGCCTTCGGCACCAGGTCAATGGGTTTCAAGTACACTAGGTCAATGGGTGTCTGGTAAGATGGGTTGATGCTTAATCTCCAGCACCAGGTCAGTATGGCCTACACCCGTGACACCAGATTAGATCTCGTATGAGGCTGGCACTCTACCCTTGACACACTGACCTGGCTGTTCTGGGTGATCAGAATGAGGCCTCAGGAGTGGCCAGGGGAGAATCCAGGGGATGGAATCAGCGGCTGGACCAGATCACCAAGGTCGTGGCATGCGACTGGACTAATCAGCACATAATTACTCCAATTAAATTGAGCGGCAAGGCAGATTTAAGATTAGGGCATCTGCCCGTAGTTTCTCTGGGGTGACACCAGGAGCCGACCATTTCCTTTAAATGTGCAGAGTGGACGGGCCATTAGGACTTTGCCAGGGCATAAATCAGTCAGCAGAGCAGTTCAGGGAAAAAACAGCATTCAGGTGAAGAGCATTGAGGTCTTACAGCAGCCACTGAATAGCTTGGGCAGCAGTGTGACGTACTGCATGGTCTTAAAGAAACACTCCATTTGTGCAGCTGAACATTAGCTACCATAATGCTATTTTAGTTTCCTGCCCTAGTTTCATCTGCAATCTGGTCTAATTTCAGAGGTTCCTGTATAATGAATGTCCTTCCTGTCATTTCCAGAAGACAATCTTAATTATCAGTCAGCAAGGTTTACGTCTGTTTCGGAATTCTGGTGTCCTCGATGTTTGCGCCCTCGTAATGCTAATGACCCATTAAACACCACGGGAGTCTGATACTGTACCTGTCTACCACCTGTCTCAGGCTGGACAACGGCAGCATGTCCGTGATCGCAGTGCGAAATGCTTCCAGGTCAGAGTTCATCAAGCATCTTAAGAGATATGGCAACTTAAATAATCAGGTGAGCCCCCCCCCCCCCCCCACCATTCAGGTGGAGCAGCTCCTGCCGGCCGGGGGCTATTTCCCAGCAAAGGAAATCCTGCCAGCACAAATGGAGTCAGCAACCTTCCCCGCTTAAACGGAATTAGCATACTGTCAAGTCAAATTAGTCACCGATTGTCAGATTTCAGTAAAACACTTTTCAGACTAATAGAGATTAGCCTGATTCAGGGGCAGTATGTCTCCTATGTCTCAGAATACATGTCAGCTCTGTTTGTTAACCTACATTGTACATGCACACACATATATGTGTGTGTTTATAATAATGTGTGCATATACATACTCTCTGTGAGTGGCATTCCCATTCACAAATGCTTTAAGTTTGGCTATAAAGTTCACTTAAATACTCTTTTCATCATTTTTAAATGCTCATTTCATCTGAGTATGTCATGTCAGTTAAAATAGTCTTGAAAACTTAAAATACATAAAAAAATCTTTAAATAAAACAATGGATCAAGGTAAACGTGGTAACCAGTGATGCTTGGTTTTTAATGACTCATCTGCGCTAGCAGTTAATTGTATTTGGGTGGGCAGTCTGTGTGAAAGGTTATTAAGACGAGTGGTTTGTTGTCAGGAGTTGGCAGAGCCCCTGTGGCGTGGGTCCACTCTCAGTCATTTTGTGAAGGGTAAACCCTTACTTAAGCTGGCTGCTTGTCAGCGCCCCCTTGTGGACCAAGAGTAACTAACAGATGAGCACCAGGTGTTGCTACAGTGAATTACGAAGGGAGAAAGACCTGTGTCCATCTTGGGTAATATGGATGGCTTCTGGAATGTAGACAGGAAGTGAAGAACACGTGAGATTACAAAAAAAAAATTGTCTGAAAACTGAATTGCAGATCCTTTCACTGTAAGGTCTCATTATTCAGGCACCTCATCGTCAATCATTAGCCTAATTAAACTTCACACCTCCGTCTTCAAAGCAGTTCTAATTTTATGATTTTTTTTTCATGATGATCAATTATATGGGGCTTATCAGCGTCTGTATGTGTCATCTCTGAGCCTGCGAGATGCCCTTCAGAGCTAAGCGGGCATCGTCGCACCAGCTGACTGACTGCCTTTTATGGATTTGACTTTGAGAATCTCTCCCCACCCCTCACCTCCCCCACCCCGCAACAGTTCGGCTTCCCCTTCGTGGAAACCCACACGGCCCGTGCTGTGAGGCTGCGTCCTCGCTCGCGGGGCGACTGGGCCGAGGATGTCTCAGAGAAAGCGGCTGATTTTGACTCTAAGAACATACCCATCATCTCCTCCGAAGTGTCCTACCCCTGGAACATCGATGGAGACCTGCTGGAGGTTCCTGGCGAGCTCCTCATCAGGTGCTATTTTCCCCTCCGAAGGGCCCACTCAAGGACCCTTCTGATAGGTCCGTTTGAACTGCCTGAGAAGCACCATGTGCTGCGATATGACAGGTTCTCATGATCTGCTGCTGTGTCCTTTGCTACATAAATGTTATATAGCGTTACATACAAGGAATTTCTGCATTGACGACCTCATTGCTGCAAACTTCTGTTTATTTAATTATTAATTATTATTAGTATTATTAATATTAATATTAATTAATTTTAATTAATTAATTTTATTTAGCAGCTGCTTTTATCCAAAGAAACATACAAGTTTGGGAAAGCCGGGACAGTCAGATACTGGAGTGTGTGTGTGTGTGGGGGGGGGGGAGTTTAAAAACCTAAAAACAACAGTGAACTTGACCTTAGGACTTGAACCAGCAACCTTCCACTCACTAGCACAGCGTCCTAACCTATCGACCCACACACCACCTACTTAGTGCTTGTTTCTTCTTAAACACTTAGCTTACTCTTTTTTTTGGTACACAACATAGAGCAGGAGTAGGCAACCCTGATCCTGGAGTGCTGGTACCCAGCAGGTTTTCCATCCTACCAGGTCTCAGATGAATCACACCTGATCTCAGGCAGATAGTAATTCATCAGGTAGGATAGAAAACCTGCTGGATAGAATCACGATTGCCTGTGTTGAACTAGAGTTTTACCCATTTGCATAGCTTTTGCTAATTAACTTTTGCTAATGTGTTCGCGGACCCCTCTTCGCCCCGGACCCTCATACAGCGCAGTGGTCGCCACCGATCCGCTCAGCTGACGGGACCTGTGCCTTTCCACAGGGTGCATCCCCAGCTCATCCTGCTCTTCGGGGTGAACACGGAGGAGGTCGACGACGGCCCAGCTAAGTGCGGCTGCATCTAAACGTGACCCAGGTCCTCTTCAGGGTTTCACACCTAACATACTGTACTTTGAGGTAAAAAAAAATTCACAGGAAATGACACAATTCAGTGTAAATCACAAAACACTTTCTTTATATAGATGATTTTTTTCTGTATGGAATCCAAATTACAGTCTGTTTTGTACATTCCAGTGTAGAATATTTAAATTAAACCAAAGCAATTATGATAACAAGAAAATGCTAGTTGTTTTTTTTACATATAGGTCAGACTTTAAATATATATTTAATGCCTTTCTTAGAAAAAACATTTTGGAATGTATTTTTCCTTGTAAGCGTATTCTAAATTATTACTTTTATATGTATACCTTTTCACTCCCTGAGTGGCATTATATGGATTTATTTTTTACTTTAATTTTGTTTTGTATTGTGTGTATTCTTAATTATCCCCAACTGTCGTAAAGAGGACAGACTGAAGTGATGAGTTATTTCAATAAGCTTTTCTAATGTTAAAAGTGTCATTAGAACAAAGCTTTAAACATATCAGTTGTAGAAATGTATGACAGGGCAGCAGAGTGTCTTGCATTCATCCATCTGTTCTAATCAACTTTTGCAGTAAACATTAATTTTGTGATATCCTAAGTGGAGGTTTTCAGTTTGGGGCTCAGAAAATACCAAAAAAAAAAAATCACAAAATTTCAGCTTCATAACAGTCCTAACAGAAACAGTCAGACCTTTGCGGGCTGCCGGCAGGACGAGGGTATCTGCAGAGTGGTGTGATACTGTTGAGTGTGACAAATTAAAGGAGCAACAGTGTAGGCGCTGCCCCCTGGTGGACTGGATGGCAGGCAGCCACACGTAAGGCTACAAAGTCACCTTGTTCAGCGGAAAAAAAAAAACAACATACAGTAGTGGCACACTTCGAATTTGAATGCACTGCTTCAAGCAAAAATATTGCAGTCTAATCTGTCACTGTTTCTGTGTACATGAAAAAAATTTAGGTATCCTGAGTCAAATTGTCAGTAAACACTTCATTGACTGTGCAAATTGTTTTCCTGGAAGTATATAAAAACACTTTTGCATCAATAAATGAATACAAGGGAGATGAATGACCTGACCCTTACAGCACCATATTAACTGGGTTTTAGGGCATTTGAAATACTACATGATAAGACAATAAGCTACAAGTCAGAACAAAATTATTGAACTGGTCCTTAAAAAGTATTGCACCTTTATATACATAACTCCATCTATTCATCACTCATAAGCACTTCTCCAGTACAGGGTCACGGTAGGCCTGCAGTCTGCATAACAGTATATATGTATACGGTATTTCACAAATATTTACATGTGAATATATAAAAACAGGAATGTACTCGCTTTCGCATTCAGGATCAGATGCATTGACGATGCATTTTTCTGTGACGAAAACAGCATGCCATCATTGGTCAGCGCGCCCCCCCTCACCAGCAAGCGTGTCATCATCTTGCAAGGTGATGTCTGACCACTCCGGGGGGGGGGTAGGCCGAATGGCAAGGTAAAGTGCACTCCACGCATCCTCCCAGTATAGAAAACTTGACTTTCGACGGGGTGCGGTCCATTCCACAAGACGGGGGGAGGAGGGTGGTAGATCTGTAGTCTGTGTCTTTGCACAGCAGGTGCAGTGCAGGGCAAAGTTTGCACGAGGCTTTCGATGGCCTTCGTCTGCTATCCAGACACATGCAGCTGTACCTGGTTACCCCTTGACTTTATTCTTTGACCACTTCCGTTTCCGTTTGCTGCCTTTGAGCCTGACATCTGCCCATTTAATAAACTTCTGAGCTCTTCTGTACAAAGTCCCAGCTCTCCCTTCGAAATGCCTCTTGCTTCTCTTTGTACTCTCTCCTGAAGAATCCAGCCTGTAAATGAGAGATTATCAGTCTACCGTCTCCATCTATCCATTCATTCTTTCACCATACCCGCTTGTCCGATGCAGGGTCACTGCGGTCTGAACCCTACCCTGCAAACTAAGGGTACATTTCACGAAATCATCCAGGATGAGATGCCAACCCATTGCAGAGTTAACTGTTTGCTTAATTAAAAAAAAATCATTACAAATACCCAAAATCAATCTTTTCATTTTAATCATGTACAGTTAAACTTAATCCCTTGAGAAGATTACTGACTGCATTCTTGCTCTGTTTGATCCACAAACTACTTTGTCAGTAGACCATGACAACTTCTTCAATAGTATTTTCAAGTGAGTTATTTCCAAATGGCAATCGTATATATTTCACCAGTATCCTCTTGTGTTGGTTTGACAAGAAAACCACTGGAGGTGACTTTAAGTAGAGCTGCTATTATATTAGGCAGGTTACGGTAACCCACCTTCCACATGACATATATGAGCACAGCCAAAATGAGGAGCCCAGCTGTCAGGCTTGAGGCAATGATGAAAATGGACAGGTCCTCACGTGGTCTCTGGCTGTAATGGGCTTCCAACACAACCTAGATAGAGAGAGATTGTGCTTAGAAGATGCCTCTCTGGATCTTTTCAAATGAAATGTGTTTGCAGTTACCGCTAATAGCAAGGCTGATTCTTTTTAGAGTCCCAGGTCCTCCTGGATACAGGCAGAAGCACCAGAGACCCACCCCCAACCTTTGGGCAATGGACAGGTGTGTAGGATGACCCCATGTTGCACTAAGCCAGGCCACCTGGACATAATCCCGCCCCCTTGTTTGCTGTGTAACGGGTCCCTGTTAAACCGGAGTATGCTGACTTGCCTTTGTGAAGGCAGTCTGAGTCAGGAACACTGCGTAGGGGCCCTCTGGCCAGGCAACGGCAGTGCTCTCCAGCTGCATTATTCCGTGTCTGCCCTGTTTATAAAAAGAGAAGACATTTAAGCCATGCTCCTTGGCCCAGTTATATGCTCAAGCAGCCTTAGAATGGGGCAGCCGCCTCACCGGGGACACCTGGAGCACATCGGGATTGAGCTCCACCTCCATCTGAATGGTCACGTCTTTCCCCACGTCGAGGTCTCCAAGCTCACACACAACTTGGAGACACAGGTAGTCGGGCTTCATGCAGTACTGTGGCAGGAGAGAAATGATGCTGTTCAGATCTCCCCAGTCCCAGGGAACCCAGCTAGGTAGCTTATCACGGCCGATCGCTCTCTGCTGGTACCATTTGTCGTTTCGTTATTTTCGAGAAGAAGAACACCAACTCCTCGAGCACATTCGGCTGGGGTACATCACAGCTGAGGGCACTTCCGTTATCTGCGTCTCCAATGTAACACCGTCCAACAGACGTCTAGGGTAGACAAGGTGACCCCATCATCATTATGAAAAGAATAAAAGTATTAGACTCACATATATGCCAAGTTTAGGGTGATGAATGTCAATGTTGATACCTGTAAATCCACGATATTGAGCAATCGGTAGGAATATGGTGCTAAATTTTTGGGAATATCGATCTGAACTCTGGCCCCTACAGCTTTGCTTGGACCAACGCTGATAACCTACAAACAGAGATGTGCACATCAAATCAGTGTTCCACTTTCGAAATGACAAAAACATGAGAATTCAGTACATCCATGACAAATGGCAATGCATTCACAATCAGACTGTTTTGCATCACTTTGATTAGACAAGCAGAGGGAAAGGACATCACACAATGGGCTACAACGTCACATACCCCTTAGAAAACAAGTTATAGAATTGTTACCTTGTATGTATAGTTGAACTTCTTGGTAGAACAGCCGGTTCTCTCTGGACCACCAAACACAAAACTTGGCTGGGAGACGATGCTACAAGCATTGGAAAAGGGAAAGTGAAACTGTTGACTAGTAACTACACCACCACTACACTGCATCACCCTTACATACACAATTTCTATTATTTTTTTACTGTTTTGCCATATCCAACAAATCATTTTTGGTTCTAACACTTCTTATGGGCTTAACTATGGCAAACCACAAGGAGTTGGTCTTTGTAGTTAAGACAATCAGAAGTTTTGTGAAGTTAGTGGTTATACTATATTTCCAGGTATTGGGCATCTCTGAAGGAACTGTGCGATATGGTCTTTCACCATAGTTTTATAGGGATGTCAACTGCCTAAGCGATTATGGTTTTTGCCATTTGGCCCAAGACAAGCCTGAAATTTTCTTATACATAAACATTTTGCAGCATTGACTGTAGAGTTTATAATATCAAAAAACCAAATTGTATGTTATGCAGAAGAACACCAACAAAGGGGAAGAACAGAAAAACTGAAGAGGAAACTTACCCGTGGATGTTCAGGTCAACACCATATCTGAGCGGTAACGTCACCGTGGCAGTGTTATCATATAGAAGGTCTTCATTTTCAACATTATCCCTGGCAATGACGAACATCGGGTCAAATAAAACAAGCAACTCTGAACATTGACTCGAGAACTTCAGCAGAATTGACTCAAAGTGTACTAAAAAGGACAGAGATGTACATCAGTATGACAGAATGAGCCAAGCTTTCCATTCATTCGCTGCTGTCCTTCACTGAAAATGACCTATAAAAAACATTCCCTACAAACCTCAAACAAATGGCCCATCATCAGATCTTTAAGAGAAATCATTTCCTCTATATTTCAGGGGAAAGGAAAGCTTTCAATCTACTTTGATTGCTATTTATCCATGCACTTAATTACAAACTTGAAAAAAAGGCATTTATCTTAAAAAAATATGTGTTTATGGTCCTGGAGCAGCGTCCTACCAGAGGACACCTGGAGATCTTGTCTCTAATTACTTGGCTTGCTGTTCTGTTTACTAGCTCCTCTAACTGCAAACAGAACACAGGGCACTTATCTCCCTGGTCCTCACTAACACGTCCCCATTTGCTTGCCGGTTTGTTTAAAAGGCAATTTAGGGGCCTGAGCGGTAGCAAAAGGCCTCCCATTAACGCCGTCGCCTGTAGATTCTCTGCCTTATTACTGGGACAGCCTCACACCTGACCGATTTGCCAGTAAAGGCTTTCATCTCTCACTGGGGAGCTTACTCACCGAGTCGCATTTACAGTGATGTTGAGGTCACCGGCATTGCTACTCTGGTTGACGTCCAGCAGAAAGCTGATGTTGAGCTAAAGGGAAAAAAGGTGTACAGCAGCTGTTGATTTTGTGCATTTTCCGCCATTTTCCGTGATGTGTCACTATTTCCTCCTTTCATCGCTAATATTAGACATTGCACCAACACAGAGCCATTGAGATATGCAAGCCCAGGGTAGCCTTTCCGGTGTGAAATTTCAGAGGCCGGAAACAATGTTGAGAAACACGTCAATTGAAAACAGGAAGACTAACAAGCGGCGCAATAGACGTGAGGCACAATGTTCTTCGGGGGGCCTCCTGGTCGCCATTGTTTAAGTGCCGCATACCTTAGCCAAAGAGTTCAAGAACGAGTTTCCCACGCTGCAGTCCACAGTGGCCTTGTCGTCCTCCACGCTTTCACAGCTTACATGTTTCTCCTCCTAAAGATCACATGGGCATAACTGTTACCGAAGCCAACCTACCCAGTGACAGGTTTTGGACTTCAGGGTGATTCTAGGATTTTTTATTGTGAGGACATAATAGGGCCCATAATTCATACAGAAGGGCCAACCTTATCATTATCGAAAGATATGTTATGAATCTGTGAGTGACAGGGGAGTGGGCACTCCCGGGCCAATCAGCTTTCGGCTGAGGCTAGTTCTCCATGTGGCCCCGCCCCCATTTCCAGACAGTTCCACTTATATCAAGGAGCTGGCCACACATGAACCACATGTGAATTCAGTTGGGATGGTGCTGGGCCTTACCGCTTCCAGAACTTTAATGAAGTAAAGGTTGCTGGGTAACCTTAGGTGAAGCATTGGCAGAAAGGCATCGTCTCCCAGGTTGGCCAGTGTCACATTTAGCATGATGGTCTTTCCGGTCCCCAGCGCGAAGTACGGCATATTTTGGTGGGAGCTGCACAAGAATAATGGCGTGAAGCTTTCATTCAGACAACCACCTGACCAAAAAGATGAGAAACTCTCCCCAAGCTATAAAGGTTGTCCATTGATGTCAAATTATTCTGGTTAAAACAGCTCTTAGGTCTGCAAAGACCTGTGTGGAAATAGCAGAGATTACCCCGGTGAGAACAAGTCACGTCTGTGGCTCTCTGGCACGACATTAATCACCCTGCACCTTCGGGAGGGCGGCTGGCAAAGAGATAAGCGGCAGAGCTGCACCGTCAGCCTTTCGGCTGCCTCCGTGCTCCCCGGCATGAGATAAGGCAGCGCAGAAATCAAGAAGCAACCGTGGACAAAGGAAACATTCCTGGCAACCGGAGGCCCAGAGAATGCTCTTGTTGGACCCCCACGTGCTGTAATTCCTTAGTTCCTGAGGAATAAAGCTTCCCTACATCTGTGTTCCTGACCCTGGGGCACCAGGTGCACATCTGGGCCCATAACCAGAGAACTACACTGCTGCTTTTCTCACGCTTGCAAAGCACACACACGCACACACACACATTTTTTCCTGGTGAGGAATTAGCTGAGCTGCTGAAAAAAAACATTAAAAACGGCATGTAAACTATAAATTAAGTATCAACACTATAAGTGGCCTTACCATAAGCTAGAATGCCAGAAAACCAGAATAACAAAAGTATTAAGGCCTAAAAAACAAAACTGCAATGCTACATATCATAGCATATTTACAGACCATGAGTTTGTCCAAGAGCAGGGGTTCAGAACCAGAGCAGGTGGTCTGCAGAAACCTATAATCATCCGGCAGAAATACTCAAGGCCCACCCCTCCATTCCTAAGCCATTCCACTGATATGATCATGCATTAGAGTTATGGGGGGTCCCAAACTCTGGTCTGTTTTAATGCGGGGGGTCCCTGGTTTTAAGATGGGTTGAAATTCTAATTTTAAGTATTAGCAGGCACAACAAACTTCACAACTGGTATATAACCCAAGTTAAGGTGGTTACGTCATTTTGAAATGAAGACGGGAATGCGTGGAAAAGGCCAAGCTCACAAAAGGTCCAGAGGCTTAACAGCTTTTGACTGTGTTACGATTCAAACAATGCTCAGGATGTCCCAAAGAAGACGACATCCCACCTATGCAGACAGAACCTGAGCGTGAACGGACAGCCGACACTCACTGAGGCAGCACCAGCTGGGCCGAAACGTGCAGGTTGGTCGAACAGTTGACCCAAGCGCAGTAACGGGCAAATTCAGTCTGTGGGCAGAAACAACACTGAACACCGGTACCCAACCTATTACGCATTATATTGTTCAATTTAACAATGAACCTTAACTATCAATGGTCAGTGAAATTCTTTACTTTCAATGTGTAAACATGCTTATAGCAGCAATAATATAAGTTGTAATGGAGATCCACCTTGTTGCTTACTATCAGAGCGGCAATATGAGAAGGTCCAACAGAAACGCACCTTGTTCCTGACTTGGTTGTGCTCCTTCCCCCGCTGCTGCAGTACCGGCTTCAGGTATGGAAGAGTCGTGACTCTTTCCCTAGGAACACTGTGCTTTCCCAGCTCGTACTTCAACTCAAAATAGATCGGCGAGAAGATATCCCTGATGTCTCTCTACACAAAGAGGAATAAAGAAAAGGTGAGCGTGGAAGGGGATTTGCCCCACGTATAAACTGAGATCCACAAACATGTCCCCCACCCCGCCCCCCCAGCCATACTGGATGTCCGTTTTGGTACCAACGGCAGGCCCAGTTTGGAGGTGCTCTTACAATTAATGGCACCGCGGTTTTACAGACGGCTAAAAGGAGCCCGTTTCGCGGCGTCAGCTGGCTGCCGGGGCTGGGCCGACTCTCCCGGGCCTGACTTGGACAGCAGACCGCGGCGTGACCCGTGCTCCGGAACAATGTTACAGTGTCCCACTAAGAGAGCTGGACCCCAGCCACTACCCCAGCATCCTGGGGACCACGCGACCCCCCCTCACCCCCCGGTGGCTGCTGCCCATGCCTGGCCTCGGGTCGCGGTTTTAGCTGCTCAAAGTCAAAGCCAGGCAGCCTGCCCTTCACGTTGCTCGCGGAGGGAAAGGACGGTGGCGGAGTGACCCTGGGTCCAGCCCCACGACGGCTCGGAGCGGCGGATCACGTGATGGCCACAGATGGCGTAGATAAACAATCGAGTCTGATGAGCCGCAGAGATTCCCAAGGAGGGTGACTGGGAATAACTTTTTGCTTTTTATTTACATTTCACGCAACAACAAAAGAAAAACACAGCTGTAACAACATATACGGTACTATAAGCTTCCACTGAATATAAGAAGTGACCCAAGAACCAGCTTTAAGGTGAAGACTTTTATTTTCCATTAACTTTTAATTAATTTCAATATTATCTGCTCTTTTTAATTGATGTAGGACACTGCATTTCTATTCTATTCATTAATTTTACATGCTTATACTTGAATTTTAAATTGTTTTACTTTTAACTTCTGTTTATAAAGCACTGTGAGTATGTGGAAATCTACATATATAACCTTGCCTTTTCTGTCGTTACAAAGGCTGGTACACTACACTGCTTAATGTTCAGGGAGCCAGACCACATTGTACGCTGGGACGCTAAGAGCGGCGATCCTGTTCATCTCCTGACCTATTTAGTAACTTGATCTACTCTAAAAACATAAATACAGGAACTAGCTAAGACACCTAAGGGTTACACTCCCAGGACCCCTAAGTATTTCAGCTTGAGAGTATGCAGCAGTGCTTCCCAAATCGGTCCTCGGGGTCCCAGTTTTTGTTCCCTGCCAGCTCCCTACCAGACAGTCCACATTTTTGCTCCCTCTCAGCTCCCGAAGTCCGGATTGGGAAACTCTGGTATGCGGGCTACGTATGGATCTTCTTATACATGCTGTGAGCCCCAATGCAAGAGCTCCCCAGCTGCAACAAATCATAGGCGAAGCTCACCCAGTTCCACAGCCAAGGTTCTCACTCATGCTCAGCGAAATCCCACTACATTCAGCCTGCACTGCAATACCCTCACTTCCTTCAATCTTGAAAGTGCTACTGTATCTTGTGTGACTATTGTGACACTATTGTATTTGTATTTAGCCACTTTCTAGCATATCATATACATATGTTTTATGTGTACATTAAATGAAGCCATTACTCAATTTTGTGGTGACCATAATGGTGCTTAATGACATTAATTCCTTGACCAGGCTTGGAAAGAGGGAAAATAGATTTTTTTAAAAAACATAGAGAAACCTGTCACATGTTTCACATGTGATCTGAAGCGGTAGCAGTTCAAATGTTACATGACATGCTTATCTGCTTGAGTCTCCATTGGCTATAGAGAAAACCATGTAAAGAAATATATTAAAAGACCATACAGAAGACACACTATAGTACTCCATAAATCACCCTGTCTAGGAGACCACAGAGATGAACCAACCTGTCACACCTGGGCCTTGCTTGCATCACCCAGCAAGGGACACAGCAGGCTGCCACTCGCTCATGACACTCAGCATGGAAAGCATCTCCACTATGATGACAACCTGTCCTCATTGAGAAGTACTACATGGCATGTCCAGCAGGGGGCCCAGTGGTCGAGGACGAACCTAACACCCGCTAGCTAATGAGCGGCTTGCCACAGGTGTGTACAAGTAAGAGGTAAAAGCTAATGAAAGTGAGAAAGAAGGATAGAAGGGGATGTAAAAGTGGAAGTGAAGAAGAAAAAGTGAAAGAACGAAAAGGAAGTAGTTTCAAAGTAGTGTGGTTCCCCATTCAATTTTCTGCTGTCCCATCAAACGTTTGTCCCCTAATTCACTCCCCTTCTCTGCAAGCTCCCCCCCACATCTGCTGCACATTACATTCATTACTCTAATTACACATTAATTATTCAAGTTCTAAAAATACATGAAATGCACAGGCCCCTGGTAGGAATTGCCTTTGACATATAATCATACTTGTTTATAGCTGTCGTCTCCATCACCGACTATTAATAACCGCGATACGCAGACGCCATCCATTAATTACCCTCTACAATGGGAGAGACAGATCAGATGGCCCTGATTATTACGAGCGGCTGGGGACAGTCCAGGGAGGTTGCCACGGAACACCTGGAACAGTGACTCAGAAACACAAACCATCCATTACGATCTGGTCCAGATGATTCGCGCTTAGATGGGCGAGCTCCCACCCAGAATTTCGTGTAGACTGTTTGTCTCCCGGCTGACTTGTGAACCAGCTCTCTGGGTAGCTCTGGAACTGGCATACTCACCCTCATGTAGGCCGTGTGGGTGACGCAGGACACATGGTTGGGCCGAGCAAAGACCTTCCCTGTGGTGGTGTTGGAGGTTCCATTTTCCAGGAAGTAGAAGCGGTTGGGAAATGCTTCCCTGTGTTCGACATCCGCAGTCAAGTTATACAGCATTCCTGCCCAGGGAGCAACAGACCACATGACAGATTTAAGCAGAGGTACATTAACATGGTCTGAGGCTCCTGGGCTATTTGAGCTGTTGATTGGCTGTCGATTAAAATTTTGTTGAACAAGGAAGCCCCTGGTATTCAGCCCGGGTAAGCCTGTGCATTAAAACACCCCTGTCTTTCAGGTAACTTCCCACTGAATGCAGCCATGGTCTGCTGACAGGATAATGCTGACAGCATTCATGTGACAGTGAGCGTGTTTATATAATCAAACAGGATTACAGACACCCTCCGTGCTAAATGAACACTGCCAATGTTTCTGCATAAGCTCTACATCTTCATCTGTCAGTCTGTATCATAAAAGCAATTAGATCCAAATAATTATTTGTCAATGCAACCCTGCACAGTAATAAAGATGGATGGATGGATGGATGGATGGATAGATGGATGGATAATTTTTTTGCTAGCTGGAAGATCATGCAGGAAAAATTGACGGAACGAACACAGCAGATCATCAGTTATCCACCTCTCACAGGGTGATGCAATTGAAAGGCTCAAAAACTAAACAATAGCAATTTTTTCCACTGCCAGGGGGGTGCATATCTATATTTTAAATGTATCTGATGCATTCAGAATATAAATCCTGAATGACAGAACCGCAAAAAGCTTAAAATGAGCAAGAACATGCACATCAAACTTTTGCTACAGTAACAGCACACAAAAAAGCTAGTCAGTAAAAATTCCTTTTTAGATATTGCAGAAGTAACCCAGAGATGGCCATGCTGTTTAAAACGGCAGTTTTTCTACTTCTGAATTATACATTTTTTTCTCAGTTATGCTTTTTAACCTGAGAGTTTTGCTGCTGGCAGGTTATACTATACTGTAATAGGAAGCTTACGGCCTGGGTCCTACTTGCTTGTATGTCACACGAGTACCTGCTAAACTGAATTTGAGAAAACACTTCTTTACACAGCGTGTAGTTAGAGTATGGAATAGTCTTCCTTTTCATGTAGCGCAAGCTAAAACCCTGGGTTTCTTTAAATCAGAGCTAGATAAGATTCTAACAACTCTGAGCTATTAGTTAAGTTCTCCCCAAACGAGCTTGATGGGCCGAACGGCCTCCTCTCGTTTGTAAATTTCTTATGTTCTTATGTTCTTATGTTCTAAATAAAGTAAATATGGAAATAAAATGTAAATATAAATAAGTTCACACAGACATACTATGGGAAACAGTAACCACAATCGACCGCGCCCCAGGCCCTGTAACGAGTGTCTTTCTGAAGTGGGGATCTTGTGAAGAGATGGAGGGTTTCAAACCTGACATGTTCAAGCATTTAGCAGAAACGCAGCGGCCGGACGCCAGCAGCTACCGAGTGTGTGAGGGCGGGACCCACCTATGCTGCCGGGAATTTGTTTGCCCTGCACCCTGAAGCAGACTGTGATGTTGGAGCATACTGCTAGCTGGCCATGGTCGGGGCACAGCGGCACGCTGCGGTTGATGCTTGGGGAAAGCAACACCAAGGCCTCCACGATCACCACAGGTCGCGTCCTGCAGGGCAGGGTAGGTGTGGGGTTCGAGACAAGGGTGGAGTTCCGACCGTACAGTACAAGTGCACTGAAAAACTAGCTGTAGCAACCTAATACATCTCTAATTGTTTTTAAGCTGGGAGCCACAATTCATACAGAGGGGCCAGCTCCATCGTTAGCCAATGACACGTTTCGAATCGGTGAATGACGGGAGAGGGGGCACTCTGGAGGCCAATCAGCTTTCAGCTGGGACCAAAGGCCCTGCAGCCCCGCCCCTGTTGCTCATTCTGGCCAACATCTGAACCTGGTTGGGAATCCTGAGAGGACAGGTGCTACGAATAAATGAGCTGCGACGAACAGTGAATTAATGAGCGGGATAGTGGCGTAACCCGGGGTAACTCACACCTGCCGGCCCACTGCGAACGCTTACCTCAGCACCACAGCTGAGTCAGACAGGAAGGACCCCACGGCAACATCTGTAGTCAGGGGAAAGACGAGTATGTCACTCAGGGGTCTGCGCAGACCCCGAACCCTGGCCCCATTTACAGCTGCCTTTTTGTGAATATCAGGACTGGTGACTAATTGTCTCGCTGACATCGGTTTCTGCTCAACCCCCCAGCGAACCTAATTCCCACACGCTGCTCTTTCAAAAATTCCTGATGGTGCCGAAACCATCATTTTAATCTGCTGTGATATTAACATTAAAATCTAATTAGGGGGCTTTATTTTATCTTATTTGGCCGCTTAGAGTATACATATCCCACAGCCAGAAAGCCATCATTACAGCGGCCTCTCCCTTGAAATCATTTTAAACTCCACTCAGCAACATTCTTGACACTTCAGGCAAAAGTGATTTCAATGGCTGTGTTTTCTTTGCAAATGCCTACTCAAACAGTTTAAGCAAAATCATTACAATTAAATAGTGACTGTGTTACTCATGTAGATTACACAGATCTATCATGCTAGAAAGCACTGCCACAATTTAATCTTGTAGATTGAAAAAAAAAAATCAACCTACCCGAATAAGACCCCCCCCCCCAGTCCCTGCTCCATCAAGGATCAACTGCTCCCCACCCCACCACTACCACCATGAACCAATTAAAACTATCCGGACAGCCCCAGTGATGTTAAAAATACCTGGGTAGCCATTGTTGTCGATGTCAACGCCCCCGGAAACAGACTGGCCAAACATGCTAAAGTGTGCCCCCAGGACAGCTCCAGTAATTTTCTAGAAACGTGAGCAAAAACAGCAAAAAACATAAAGCAAAAGTCTTGCAACCAATAATACACCAAAGTTTTCACTTCTGCTTTCCAGCCTCCCAGTAACAAACAAGTACTGCTTGTGAAAAATGTGACTCTTGGGTCATTCTGCACTTATAACGCATGTCGGGACTCTGGATATGCGGAGGATATCTCGGGATATGCAGAATCGATTCTGTGACTGCAGATACTGTGGAGATAATCGACTCATTTCGCTGACACATTAAGAGCCCAGATAAAGGGGAACTGCAGACAGACAAAGGGATCAGTAGCTCATCGGGGTCACTGACGTATTTTCTTCCATCAGGATGTTTTGCCGGTGGTCAAGACAACTGGACAATTGTCAGAGGATGGAGAGGAAGATGGTTGTGACTTCAGATGCCCGCCCCCACCCCCCTCAGGAGGACCCAGCATGCCGAGCACAAATACCAGCCGTGAACGCACTTGGGAGTACGCCGCGGAGATCCCGCTCTTCCTGCCATTGTAGATATAAATAGCCCCGCGCAGCTCATCCTCCTGCGGCGCTCCGATGGCCACATCTGCAAAGTATTTACATAAAAAAAAAAATGTCCTCAGACTCCCCCGGCCCAGCGCTAAACGCCTGAGCTCTGGTCCGAACCGCTGACAGTCACACGAGGCTGCCCCGTAGGCGTGAACTGCAGAGCCACGTCGAAAGCCACCAAAGCGGCCCGTGTGACTGACGCAGATCTCGCCGCTGGCTAGAGACGATGGGGCTCTTAGTTCCATGATATTTCATGCAGCAAGAATGTGGGAACGTGATGAAGCCCAATTAAAATAAACAGCAGGAGAACTCCATCATAAGCGAATGAGTAGCTGCCCGACGCGTTTACCTGGGAAACCATCGTCATCGATGTCTCCCAAGTTGGTGATGGTTTCCCCAAAGCGAGAGGCATATGAGTCACTTCCTGTAAGCAGAAACTCTGCCTCCTTCATCTCGGCCTGGAAAAAATCCAAAGACAAAATTAAGGGAGACTTGGGACAGACTCCCCATATACGGCAGATATAAATGACGTGTTTCTATAACTGTACTTGTTTAGTCATCCGGGAGGTAATACTTCAGCTGCAGTCGTCATTTCACTAAGGACAGCAGACTATGCGAATGAACATGCTGTGATTCAGACAAACTCACTGTAACCAAACCCCCCAAGATGTCAGATCCATGATTACAGTATAGAATCCTTTTACATTATTCTGAATTGGACGTAATAAAACTGGTACATAAGCAGACTTTTTGACCAGAAGCCAAAAAACAGTAACAGAAAAAGTAAATGTTACCTAGCACCTTAAAAAATACATTCGAAAGTGATATATTTCACACATTGAACAGAACATGGTGCCCCAAAGGTGTGGTACACATTCGACCTGCAGGACATGCGACATTAATATCAACGTTGTATATTATGCATATGCAATTGGCACATTACAAGGACCACAATAGTCAGCTGGGTAGAGACGATCCATAAGTTGCGCTAAAACATTTTCACTCAGTCACAGGAAACAAAACTAAGCGAGTTTAAAAAAATTGTAATGATGGTTCCTTTTCATGCACTCTCCAAGCCAGTCGTAATCATTTTCGTCCTTGCTCACTCATAGACAGTGTGCCATGTTTATGAGAAATTTAACAAAATGAGTGAGGAGGAAAGTGAACAAGAACTGGTCATCAAAAGACATTAATCTTCCACTGTATGGTAATTTGAACATTTTGGATTCCATAGAGGTGATATTGAACCTAAGCAAATGACCTGTAAGTACCGCTTTGTGTCTCGTGGCCATTCGGGGCAACATCACCAACTTATTTGACAGACTCATTTGGTAGATGATAAGTTCAATTTGGCTATAGTTTATTTATTTATTTATTATTAGAAATATCAATATTTATCGCAAGGTTGCAAATATTGCCATCTGAAGTTTTTGCAATATCATGCATTCCAACTACATACCACTAAAATTTATCTTGAAAAACAAAAAACAAATAAGAAAAAAAGAACCAAAATTATGTCAGTTATTGAAGCTCTTATCAGACCATTCCAAACCTGCCACTGAGCACTGCAGCATGGAGATAACTAGCAATCAACAATAGTTTTTGCGGAGTAACGGCAATTCTCTGACTCAGGGGTTGAGGAGAAGGGTTTAGGGCAGGGGTGGGTAATCTTATCCAGAAAGTGCTGTTGGGTATGTGGGTTTTCACTGCAACTAATTAAATTAATAATTAGAGGACTGACTGGCTGAAGAGCCCTCACACCTGGACTTGAACAGCTGACCTAAAGGTTATCCCAAAAACCTGCATGCACAACAGCCCTTTGCGGATAAGATTGCCTATCCCTAGTTTAGAGGCATCGTTGCTTTACCAGCAAGCATCTAACTGGGGTTTTATAGCAATGGGCCTGCCTGAACCTACTCACGCCAACTACATTGCTGACTCAGTAGATGTGCTACAACAAGCCGTCCGGAAAATCAGTCAAATGTCGAAGGTCATGACCATAAGAGGAAACAGGCGTCCGGCCAGCTCACTTCCTGAAATCAGGAATTTTGCCATATAAGGTGCAATGCTGGAAAACCAGCGGTCGGGATAGATGTTTACTTACGGCGCCCTGGTTTATGTAGACGTACACCCTCCCTTCCTCCCTGATGGTGCTGAACATCGGTGCCCCCACCAGCAGGTCCGAGAGTCCGTCCGAATTCAGGTCAACGGCACACACGCTGGCGCCAAAATAGGAGCCCAGCTGGGAAACAGGGGACACGGTGTCCTCTCACGGTTAACGAGGAAAAGAGAAGGGCCATCACCCAGGGAGAAGAGGACTTTGCAGTAACCGTGGCCCTCACCTTATGGCCCGTCATCTCAAAGAGAATCTTCAGCAGGTTGGACTCCACCTGGAATATGTAAGCCTGAAACAGAGAGGTTCACGCGAGCATCATATTTTGGAGCAGGTCGGCCAGTACACCCAAAATACCAATGGCATTGCCAGTTGCACACTATAGATATTTTTGATTATGGTTTAATGTTTACTGTTTAATGTCTGCTGTCTCTTTACATTCTGTTTCACAGAATTGGAGCCAGACAACTATGCATTTTTGCTTTGAGGAATCATCCAAAACATAAACATCTGACCATTACTTCAAATAATGAATAGATGTTGAATTGATTTCAGATCAACTAATCTGTCAATGCCATTTCCTTAATGGTAAAAATTATTAAACTAAAGGTTACTGGCATCCCGTTTGGGATTTACCCCTGTTGTGTGTCCTGTTAACCCTGTGATGGGTGACTCTGTCCAGGGTAAGTGGTTTGAAGATGGATGGATGGATGGATGGATGGATGGATGGAAAACCAAATGCACAAATACTGAACAAACTCACACCTTTCCATTCACAGAAAAAGCACCAGGATAGAACTGGAGCACTTCCAGACTGTGGCACTGCACCACCAAGGACCAGATTGATGACTTATTGCAACTAATCTTTCAATTAGCATTTTTAATGAGGTGGAATTAAGTGGCAAAACAGCGGATCACACGGATCCTGAAATTAGAAGACAAGATGCCAAGATAAAGAGTCAAATATAAGGAGCCAAAAGACCTGAAAAGGAAATGCCTTTGGCAAGCATTCTCCTTCATAGGTGTTGCTAGGAAACATCTACTCTAAGCCTGGATTTATCTCATGACACAAGGATTCATTTTCTACATGACTTTACATTGAAACTCATCCATCCACCTTACATGGTGCCCAGTGATGTTTCAATACAAGAGCCACAAGCCATACTGCGAGACACATTTTTGTTATTGAGACACATCATCTGGAGAAGGTTTATCTCAAAAGACACTTTACTATTTCTTAAAGACATACTTGTGAGGCACAAATGCCATACTCACCTATTAAAGTTTGTACTCCTGTCTCTGATTACAGACAACACATAAAACCAGCTAACCCAGAAAACTCAGCATGGCCTCTGCCTTCCCTTCCCTTGGATGTCTAAGCAAGAATGATGGTAAGCTGGATGCGGAGTTAACGCTTACTTTACCGGTCTGCTCGTGCTGTGGAGCCCCGGCTGCGATCTCGATGGTACTGGGGTTAGTGAAGTGACCAGCACCCACAGAGTAACCTGTTGGGGGGGGGGGGGGCACGGGGGGACGATATGAGTGCCTCATCTGAGTCAGGAAAAAAAAAAAGAGTCCTCACATGCTCGCATATCGGCCTGCGGTCTGCTTTGCACTTCCTGCTGAAAGTGCCAGAGTGCTACACTTGTGGCAGCGTAGCGTTCTCCAAATGCAGTTTTGAACTGCAAGAAGGGGGCAGCCATTGAATGGGATGAAAATGATCTGTGAGGGATCCCCTCACAAAAAGATTTTTAAAAAATACTAATAAAAAGCACAGCGTGCATGCAGGCCTTTAACTGCAGATAAAGGAGTGATGTGCAAGCGCATTCACCTGATGCGTGGCTTCCTGTATATACAGGCTGACAGCAGCATGCGGAACATCCCCCAACACAACAACACAAAATCAGCAAGGCTGAGCAGTGTTTCGGAACGGCCCTCTTTGCAATATGTGTTCAGTCAAGCTTTTTCTATATTCAACATTACACCCGCTATTTTTAACCCAGCCAGCAAAAATAAAAAGGCACACTAACACCAAGCTAAGTGTCTAGGATATTAAGTCAAAACAAAGGCAACTTCTTCTACAGCGGGGGATCACAATGTACTTTACCCAAGTAGCTTCCATGGAGAACGACGCCATCATCATCCAAGTACGCTGACATGATCTGGCTTGACATGTTATAGACTAAAACGGAGCCAGTCCAGTAAAATGATCCCGGTGCTCCCATTACGATTAAGTCCTGTTGGGAACAAAGAACATGTTAGCACTGCTCTTGCCAAGCAGTAAAAGAGGTAAGGAGCGCACACTGATACAGCGCGTCCCCACACCCACCACACGGCGACCCACCTCAGAGATGAGAACCCAAGTGCAACCCTGCGTCCCCACACCCACCACACGGCGAACCACCTCAGGCATGAGAACCCAAGTGCAGCCCTGCGTCCCCACACCCACCACACGGTGACCCACCTCAGGGATGAGAACCCAAGTACAGCCCTGCGTCCCCACACCCACCACACGGCGAACCACCTCAGGGATGAGAACCCAAGTGCAGTCCTGCGTCCCCACACCCACCACACGGCGAACCACCTCAGGGATGAGAACCCAAGTGCAGTCCTGCGTCCCCACACCCACCACACGGCGACCCACCTCAGGGATGAGAACCCAAGTGCAGCCCTGCGTCCCCACACCCACCACACTAGTTTGAATGGAATGGAACAGGTTTTTTCCAGGGGCTGGAGTGCCAATCCTGCCACCAACCCCCAAATTTTCCCTGTAAGTTGGAGGACCTGCTCGCAGGGCTGGATGTAGGTTAACGTCATACAAAGGATGAAGCAATTACAGGTTAAGGGCCTTGCTCAATGGCCAAGTGGAGTAGAATCACTCCTGTCTTTCATGGGATTTGAACCTGCAACCGATTGCCGGCACAGATCCCCAGCCTCAGTCATCATGCCGCCCCCGTAAAAGGAAACCAAAGGAGTAAGAACAAGCATAAAAGAGAGGGCAACTGGTTAGATACCTCAGTCATAAAATTAGATATTCCAACTTGACAGGATCCGTAATTTTTGCCGAATTCCCGTTGGTGGTCTAAAAAAACAAAAAACAAAAAATTTCATAAATAAACACAGTGGGTGACAAATGTCACAAAACAGAAGAGAGGTCTTATTAACTCCATAGTGGGACCTTTGTCCTCGCTCACACCAACATTATCAGCATATCGCCGATTTTGGCCTTGCTGATTTAATCATTAAAGTTCTGACCTTCACCTGACTTTCGTGAAAACTTTTTTATCTACGGAGGTTCAAAAGATCCTTCCAAAACATGCACAACAATTAAGCATATACCGTAACTTTTTATAGAAATAAATAGCATAGTTTCATGTCATCCAAAGAATTTAGCGATTTGTCCCTAACAATAAAAGAATTAAAAGTGTTGAAGGCATTCATAATATGAGTATAAACTTTTCAGTATATGTAATAAGAACATACAATACATATTTGTGTTTATATATCATAGTCAAGTAACCAAGTTATGTGTGGAGTTATTAGCCTCTGAAAATACAATAAGAAATGTAATGCATCATACCGTTGTAGCAGGGAATTAACTGTAGATATTTCCCCAAATCAGCATCTAGTTTGTAGCAAACACCATGTGGCAGCTTGTTGTGATTCTCTTTTTTGGTGTAGAAGACATTTTTCCAACGATGTCCACATGCCTTTATATATATATATAAAAAAAAGAATGGGACAAAATCTGAATGAGGGAATGACACATTATTGTAATCTTATTGACATTCAGGTGCTTAGCTGATGACACCTGAGTTGTCACCCTTCTACAAGACAAGAAATATACAAAAATATCGCAGACATATCTCCTCCTAGCACTTTATCATTTACACAACTGCATATTTTACTGATATGATTCAGGGTTCGTATCTTGTGTGCAACTATTGGAGTCTCTACTTAGATCTGACCTCACTGCCTTTGATGGGTTATGAATACATTTCCTTAAGCACGACAAATCCATTACTTATATAGCTCAAATAGATCAGGTGACACATAGTACATGAGCTTAAGAAAAATTAAAAATCCTACAATACAAGATTGCAGAAGAAATCCAACCTTGCACTACAGGCAGTTTTCATAATAAATGGTATTTACAAAAATGCTAATCATGAAAAGCTCTTCTTGCTGACCGTGTGAGAATCACCCAGCTGAACATACCAAAATGTTTCCACTGCTCTGCTGTCTCGACAAACTCACGCCAAGCCACTGGTTGTCATTTTCTGGAGAGCAAGTCTTCCCACAGTTACTGACATCTGCAACATTGTCCAAAATCCGACCATGTCATGCACGGGACCAGCACACGCACAATAAAGAGAATAAGCCCCAGACCTGGCGAAGCCCTCATCTGCTTCAATAACCCCAGTGAAGTCGCCAGTGCTTGGTGGTTGGGAAGTGAGGGGGAAATCATTCACACATTCCTTCACAAATTTCCCAGCTGCCTCTTGCCACTAGCTGCTGTATATTGTACTTTATTTCATTGTTTAAATGTGGCACCAAAGACGGTCCAGGATGACATTACCCAAAACATACAATATGAAAGGTGGGAATGCCTTTGAACCATTTATATATCTTAGCTGCTTATACTGAACGTTAATGCTGCAAAACCGATGTATTTCCACCAATTAATACACACTTGTGCGGTTTCACAAGTCAGCAAGCTAATTCATGCATATTTCCAAAAATAATAATCTGAACGCAACTTTCAAATATAAATGCGACACAGTTCGGCAAAACACATAAGGTGAAGTCAAGACACGTGGGGCTTTTTCATCAGTTTCAATCTTTTTAAAAAGTCAGAATTGTTTTCGCTGACATATAGGCTAATTACGACTGCAAAGCTGATGAATCCATTATTCCATCATAAACCCGATCAGCTTATCTCAGTGGGAAATGAAGTCCCGCTGTACATGTGAGAGTACAGTCACACTTCCAAAATATAATATTCGATATGACAGAAAAGTCAGTGACACCAACCTAGGTATATCTGTTCACAGGTCTTGTCTGGGATTTTGCACTTGTAAATAGCACCAGGATTGCTGGTTTGCTGGTGAAACTTTGAGGCGCCAACAGGAGCTCCCGCTATCACCCTAGAACAAGCAAAATTAAAATGATGATCATCTGAGAAGGCACTATTGCATATGACACAAAAGAGTTCATTAATCGTCCCTCTCGTGGTTTTACATCCATGGCCAGGCAATTGAATACTAAATGTTACTGATGTAAATGTGCTTTTCTGAAGCTGTCTCTAAATAAGCGCTTTGTGCTCCGGCAGATGGCAAATTAGTATGCCCAACATTTCAAGGCAATCTTCAGACTAACCGATGTGGTTCAGTCCTCTGCCACAAACCAACGTTAAAAACAACTGCAGCGCTATTATGGAGACGTGTAGGTAAGTTTTGTACAAAGTAATTCTGATACTTACCACTTTCCATTGGCATTCTCGTGAAGCAGCACGGAATATCCAAAAAACGATCCGTTTGGACCAGAGATGGATAAGTAATTTTCTACATCCAGATTGTATGCGTCGCTGTAGTTCTGCACACACCATAGGTATATGAAGGTTGCATTCAGCACATTGATGCGTCGCAAAAGTTTCCCTGCCGTGTTTCGCTTCATTTCTATGAAATTGCAATAAAAAATAAGGAAGTCTTGAAAAACAATGAAGTAGATGAATGTGAGGTGTCCAACCACACCGGAAAGGATTGAAATCACAAACTTTCTCCGCTTTCCGTGTAACTTCTGGCAAGTTTAACTGCAGAGCGGCGTGACTCCTGTTGCGCCTGAGGTTGCGGCCAAGTCCTCAAATGACTAACTTGGGAGACCCATTAGGGGGAGCCTGTCTTCAGCGCGGTGCCACCCATGCGCGCTGATCATTCTTATTGAGAAATACGCCATTTATTCAGGGTTACCAACTTTGGTCAGCTGGCTGGAGTGACATTTTCAATTCAAGTAACCAGACAAAATACAAGTCGTTTTAGTTTTTTGATTGCAGTTACAGATTTTTTTTATAAAATCCTCTATTGATTGAAATGACTACCAGTTTGTAGTTAACACCATGTAAATTCACAGTGCTCTACTAAACAAACATAACATAACTTGACTATGATATATAAACACAAATATGTATTCTCTGTTAGTTCTTCTGTATTATAATGATAGTAGCTTGAGGATAGTATGTTCTAAGGATATTATGCTCACTGCGCTTGGTTCATGAACACCATTAATCTTCACAAACAGCAACTTTGGGGTCATGAAGGGCGGCACACGTGTAATAAACAGAAAGTTACCGGCGTCGGATTACCTGCCGAGTGAGCTGCGACTTATTTAATGCTTGTTATGTTTGTGCTAATCATTTCCTTCAGTGTGTGGTATTTTCATAGAGTAAATAACAGGGGTCCAGCAGGAGAAATATGTGATTCTCACGCTCTGTTTTTCTTTTCAGAAAAAGCGAACATTTCCTGGACTGAGTACTACTAGTAGACATCTGATACCTGACATAAGAGGAAGGCAGTCCAGTCTTTGGCCAGATCATTGGCTCATTGAGGCTGCTTAAGGTAATAACAATAACCAAACAAATATATAGTAACAGTCATTCGTTTATGCTGCCATCAGATATGTATAGAATTCATGCTAAACAGAACCAAATGCCCTTTGTTGTTACCATTATAGTTTTCAAGTGCAGTGCTGATATTTGTAATTTCCACTCTGGGATTATTCATATGCTGCACATGTGTTTCCTTTTTAAGGTGCTGCTCCTCGGGTGTGTGGAGGGCATTCTGCGAGGCTAGAGTCATGGGCCAGATGTCACGTTGTGACTGTGAGACTCCGAAGCGTATATGTGCTGATACAGTATCCTGGACAATGTGAGGAAGTGACCAAAAATGGCTTGTTGAAGTACTGGGTTTCTTCTTCAGTGAGCATGAAAGAGAGGACAGTTCTAAGAACTGGTGCTATTGTCTGTAACCGGCAGTGGTGGCTTAATGGTTAGGGAAGTGTGTTTGTAATTGAAAGATTGCTGATTTGAATCCCCGACCAGCAAGGCATCACTGAGGTACCCTGAGCAAGGCACTGGGTGCTGAATTAGCTGCCCCCTGCTATGTCATGTATGGGTTAAGTGCAGACACATTTTGTTGTGGTGTGTCAACACTGATCACCTGATTCTAACAGAGTGGTACCCAGGGCTCACGCTGGGACCTGGGATGTGCCTGAGGTAGCCGGCAGGTAATATTGTTCTGCCGGAAGATTCTCAGATATAACCCGGGACCGCAGATAGTTCCTGTAAAACAAGCACAAAATGAAATCCTGGTTTTTCATCTCAGCTCTGCATGACCCCCCCCTGCATTTATTGCATAAGTGCATTCTTTCTTTCTTCACAAATGCGTGGGTGGAGGTGTCAGCATTAGGTACTGGTAAGTATTTACAGTACAGGACACATGCAGATACAGGTATTTGCAGGAAATATGTATATACTAGGAAATGGGCTGCAAAGGTCACATGATTCACCATGACGATTCAGACTGATGACTACAGATAGACATAGACTGACATGGTGAAACAGATAAGAATATATATATAATGGACTGCAAGAGACAAAACACACTTTGAGAGCACTACATGTAATTTTAGTTACAGCTACACTTCAGTGATGCTTAAAAATAATATGCGCATGACGTTGCAATTTATTATTCTATGTTCACGATTTCTGCCACTAAAAACCACACAAGTAAATGAGTGACACCTCTGACACCCTCGTTTCCGTGAATGCAGATGGCCAGACAAACCAGGCCTATTCAACAACTGCCTGCCCCTCCTCTTCCCTCCATCTGTGGCCTCAATATGCAGCCCCTACAGTGATGTTGGACATAATTAATGGTTAATGGAGAGAGTTAAAAAAAAGAAGAGAAACCCCTTTAAGTCCTGGAATAGGCTGCTGATTCATGGCTTTTTAATAGGATGACACTGGTTCCCATGAGTCTCCTCCCAAAGACCTTCCCTGTCATGATATCCCAAACACAGCACTTTCTCCGTGCCTTGACCTGCCCTGGAGTTCATGGTTTTCCTGTGATCTCCAGGTCTTCTGCATCCCGGTCGGCCCACTACCCAAATGAGCCACTTTCATTGACTTATCATGGGTATTATTACATCCATTTGTCATTTGGATATTCTAAGAACTGGGAATACGAGATCCAGCTCCATAAATGCCAGTTACACTAACGTACAGCTGATCTTGTTTTTTAACAAGAGTACTGTTTTTAAAACAAAAGAATAAAACTGAAAATTGCTAAAATAATGAAAAATAAGCTAGCGTTCAAGCATTGCATATACAATCCATAATTGTGGTTTCGAAATAACATTTCCCTTTTTGCCAGGAAGAGACTACCCTCTACGCCTCATTCAGAGAGTAAACATTAAGAGGATCTGGCATAAATGCAAAACAGAAGGAATATGTTCAAATCCTAGCCCTCTGCCAAAACCCACATAAAAAACGGCACAATCGGAATTTCTCACATGTAGGTTTAGGTCCAAGAGCCCGGAGCTTCAGTTAAAGTGGGATCTCAGAACGCCGACAGGCTCCATGTTTCATCCCACTTTATTCCCAGCATTTTTTAAAGGCATCGTAAAAATATACCCCCCCCCCCGGTGTCAGAGCGGAGAGGGTGCCCTCCACCAGGGGGGCAGAGAATGGTTGGAAATGTCATAAATTTGAAATCGGGGGTTCAGCAGAAGGCGGAGTGTAATCAGATAATCATGTTTCTGAGGATAATACGAGGCAATTAGATTAACCTCTTACCTCTGTGTGCCATCGGACGTGCCCCCCCCCCCCCCCCCCCCCCCCCCCCCCCCCCCCCCCCCCCCCCCCCCCCCCCCCCCCCCCCCCCCCCCCGCTTTCGATGGCCACGTTCCCTCCTGCCTAGCCGCCAATGCCAAATGAAGCAGCTCCACTTCTCGAAGCTTCAAGAGCAGCAAAAGCGCTCCGGCGTTCATTTATCAAACGGCCATTGCCTTAAAGAAATGCGAAAAATTTGGAAAGGCAGCCGTGCCGAATTCTGGGCGTTTGATTCGAACCATACGCAGTGATGGCCAGAGGTTTATTTTAAGAAAGATGACCCCCCCCCCCACACACACACACACACACACGCACCCCTGCATCATGGTTAATGACTCCTGGGGAAAAAAAAAGGGAAATAAAACATGGATGATTTTAAATATATAAAAGCTGGCCGAAGTATCTGGACTTGTTTTATATGGGCGGGCGTGCTCATGTGTGCCGGAGCCAGGTTCTCTCTCTCAGAGGACCCTGTTGTCAGTAGCTTCTGAATGCTAATTGCACCCAGGGCCTCATCCCAAGGCCAAACCCAGCTGTGGCTTGGCTGTGGTGACCCATCAGCTGCCCCATAGGGTGCCTGCTCTAAATCTTCCTGGGGTAGGAGGTGTCGTTCCAGCCCAACTGGCAGGGGCAAGCTTACCGCACTCCTGTTTTGGAACAGACATCCCCATATACTTTGATAACGAGTTAAATCCTATCTGGGGCCAAGATTGATTATTTTTTATTTTTTTTGGCGTAAAAAAGGATACAAAGAAGCAAATGTAATAAAACAGGTGAAGCACAAAGGATATAATTAGATCTATGCTATATTACCGGAGGTGAGAATCGTGTCGTTGGATGATCATCTTTTGACGAGAGGGGGGTAGCTACATCAAACGCCAAAAATTCTCGGCCTAAGCAGCCCGACACCAATGGACATGGAAGTAGACGGAAAACAAGTAGAGAAATGGTGGAATATAAAGCAAAGTCAAATGTAAGGAGGAGAGAGGTGCGGTGAAGGTGAAGATTTGCTCCAGGCTTGTTCTCCTGGATTTGGCGCGTGGCGGAAGCGTGCCCCCCCCCCCCGCGGCAGAGTCGCGCCGGCGTGCCCTGGCGCTGATGACATTACGTTGATCTCATTTCCACACCCGGCGGAAGCTTGGCACGGCTTCTGGCCACATCGCTGACATCTTCATCGCGGGGGCCACAGCGTAGGGCCACACAGACATCCTCCCCTTGTTTGAGAGCAGGAGTCTGCTTGCCCTTTTTCCAGAAGGTTTCCTGGCCCCCGTCAGGGCTTCTGGCGACACAACGGGGGTGGGGGTGTGCATTAGCCAGCGGAGCTCAGCTGCAGTAAAGTTTGGCACCGATGGGCCACCGTACACCTGCACCATCTTGTGCAATTTAATTGGCATTCAGCGCCTTGATAAATGGATTGGCTTGATGGGACAATATACTTGACATATGCAGGACTCTCCTGAGAAATAGGATTCATCTTTTGTACTTCACACGTCGACAAGCCGAAGATACCAATGCAGGCCCCTCCAACAGCTGTGTCCCCACTAGGGATGACCCTCCTCCCCCCATTCCCTCCCACCAATCAGATCGCTGCCAGATACGCAGCAATGCTCCATGACTCCACAGCCCAGGGAGGCAAGGAGATGAGATTCAGCACCATGTTCTCGTCATAAGCCCTCATAAATCCACAATATTGCTGAATAATACTACTCCAGATAGTGTACTGTTCTACATAACTTTATTTCTGTTTTTTGGACAAGCTTACAGAATGATTTTTGAAAAGCACAAGTATCGTACAAGTTGCTTCAGATGTGGGCTAATGTTTCATTCTGTTGTTCATTCTGTTAATTTTTTAATTAATAGTTTTATTAATCTGGCACTCTTTATATGAAGACAAACGAGCTGGATAAACACCAAGATGGACCTTGATGCCACCACTGCATTTTGAATAACAATAAGCACAGATCAGCATATTTGCATATTCAGCGAATGAGAATCCGGTCACATCTGTGAGCGTGAGGCATCGCGGC